ACGTCTAGACTAACTGGAAAAGTCTCGGATGGAAGTTCTTTCTCTGATCTGCAGTTTTCCACCTGATGCACGTTCAGACTTTAAATGAGCACCAGAGCAGAAAAAGAACTGCCTCAGAACTGCAGGCCGGTGGAGCTGCAGCAGATAACGAGCACCAGCACAACAGTGAGATGGCCAGTGAACCAGAGAGCAGTGAAACACTGAAAGATGGAAAGGCCCAAGGTTAGCTGGTTAGAAATGACTTAACTACAACTAAGAGAGGAATGGAGGCCACTGTTCGGTGCACTGTAAAAGAAATGCTAAAATGAGTTGCTAATTAAACCTGGAATGTCTGTGTGAGGAACATTATAATATTGTAGACGTGATTAAACAACATGCTGTGACATTAAAAGCACCAGATTTTCAAAAAACAAAACAAAAACAAACCTGGGTGTGTTCATCAAAAAAGTCGCTTTCTTTCTTGTCAGAAGCTGCAGGCGTGCCTGCTGCAGACGAGTCAATCCAAAGCTGCAACAGCAAAAAGGAAAACTTAGGTTGTAAATTCAAAAGCTTTTCATATTTTTTGAAGTAGAGTAGATCCTGCATTCATGATGGTTTTGTTTATGAAACAAAAGGATGGTCATTGGTTCGATCCATGGCTACTTGAGTCTGCATGTACTTGGGAAAGCCACTGAATCAAATGTTAGACAAAGTATATTAATGATCTGGTGAATGAAGCTTGTAGTACTTTCAGTGCTCGGTTACAGTAAAAGTCCATTTAGCATGTACTTTGAACTAGAACTGCCACATGGCTCAAAGACTAATAATCCTTTTATCACTCTTATCACTGAGCCTCAATGTACCAACAACTTATTTAACTAGAGCAGATTTAATTCAGAAAACTTTATTTATATTTATTTATATATATACATTTTCTTTTTTCTTTTTTAAACTACACGTTTCTCTTTTAACGACTTGGCCCTTTGCCATCTCTATATATGTAGTTTAAAATGAAATCAGGCATTTAAAAGTAAATCGGGTCGGAGCACGCAAGCCTACAGAAATAATAACATCTGCAGTGAAGTAAACGTTTCCTAAATGTTTTCCCTTCATTGATACTCACGTCTGTGCCATATTTAGACAATGCAGCATTTGCTAGCTGTCGAATCTTCTCTCTGTACATCTGGGCAGCACGACTGTTATACTTGGCATTGGTATCGTTCGTGGAGCAGCCATGCTGGCGGAAGAATGCCGTCTTCAGATGAAAAAAACAGAAATGACATTTCAGAAGAATTAGAAACCACAGACAAGCCACACTTCACAAAACATGGATCATTTAGGTAAAAGACAACAATCGTTTTGTTTTGTTTATTTGAGAAAAACCTCATTACACTTGCACTTACCGCATTGGCGTTACCTCCAACCTGCATACACCTAAGTTGGAACCAGTTCCAGTTGGAGTCTAACTCAGTGGATCTGCGGAGGAAAGGGGGACAATGTGGAAAGTCAACATGGACAGATTTACTAACAGTCTTTCCCAGAACAAAACCCACCTTCTGTGTTAAAATATCATAAACTGACACATTTTTAGATCAGCTACAAAGCTGAGGTACAATGAAGTTTACCTGATGAAACTGAGATGCACTCCCAGTGAGCGGTGGATGCCAGAGCAGTCGATGCACAGGAAGACACCATATGGAATACTGGCCCAACTGGGGTTTTTGGCAGCACAGTCAAAACATACCTGTGCAGACAGAACATCAGCATTTTAATTAAACATTTCTGCCTCGACCAACCCGTGTGGTCACAGTCCGTTACATTTTCCTGCTGCTAATCGTGCAAGAGAAGCAACATCATCACCAGATAATAATGTTGCCAATCAGTCATATTTAAACAGCTCGTTTCAACATTCCTGAAGACTTTCTCATTGAATTTACTGTTTAACATGGAGCTGCTGAGTGTTTACACACCGTGAAGAGCCGAGAGGTGGAGCATTTTTCAGACTGAAAGTGAAATAATATTAAATATTGTATTAATTACTATTAATCGATTATTAATATTAATTAATGTCTCTACACCATCATATTGTCTGTTTTCAGCAGCACAAAACTTTGCCTCCTATTAATGTCAGGATAGCTTCCAACAACACAGAAGGTAACATTTTCATGCCATCGTTTAGATCGTGCATGTCAAATTTTATTTATTATTTTGTTGTTTATAATGTTGCATGCACTTCCTTAGAGATGTAACTATAAATTGCATTGATCAGCCCAAAATGCCTGTGATTGGCCTGTTCAGTCTAGTCAAGTCCAGCAGTGCATTTACAATTTTTCAAATTGACTATAAAAGAACGGATCAACTCCAAAAGAGCTGAAAATCACCAAACCTGCAGACGTCTTTTAGGGTTGGGAAATGGAACCTTCTTTAAATGTTGATGGCATTTAATCACAATATTACTGAACTAAAAGGGTTCTCCACCCAAAAAGCACAACAACTCCTGTGTTCATTACGTCCCTGCATGTCATTCTTTCTTGTCTATAGCTTAAAAGGTTTTGAATGAATTCTAATAAAATGTTGTAGGTGTGTACACTCTGGCATTATTATCACTTTGAGCTTCAGATCGATTTATTGACTTTCAAGGAGATGTCAGAGTTCTAAAATGACATGATATTCTTGCTGGTAATGTGAAGTAACATGTATTCAGAAAGAATTACATAAAAACTATTACTACATTACTACTGCAGTAAGGGCATTACTGCAAAACTCCTGTGGTGACTAAAATCTTAACTTAAATTAAAAAAGCGAAAAATAAATAACTTCAAAACTCGACTTTGTGCTTAAACCATTTGTTAAAATGAGAGAGAACTTCAGGTTGGCTTCATTTTTCAGCTACGTCCAGCTTTTATAATGGGATAAAATGCTGATGCTTCGACTTTCCAACACCACATGTTTCGTAATACTTCTGTGAAGTGCGTTTCAAAACATCCACGTCACGCACATGGCTGACTGAGGTGTGTTTCACCCATTTCGACAGAGCTTTTGTGTTGCTTCTAGGCAGGCGATGTGCCAGGAAGCACAATTTCTACAGCACAGTAATTAATGAATGAATGTTTTTGACATTACTGCTTCCATTTCTACTACTACTGTAAGCACATGTATACAAGAAAACGATACCCGATCTCTCATTACTATCTTTGCTGTGGATTGTAAAGACCGATATAGATGATCAATTTACTTAGAACGCTGAACTGCTCATTATAATTGAAGAAATTATCATATTCAAACGATTACTATCATATATAGAGTCGCAGTGTACTGTTCATTCATTAAATGATGTCAATAAAAACCACATGCTTTCAATGAAAAAATAAAAACGCAGACATTCACAGCTCTGACTGTAATCTATTATACATTTGTTCTGCCTTTAAAGAAAACGTTATTATCAAGTGACTTCATCTTCACTCTAACCTGTTACACACTGAGCTGCACATACTGTTACATACCTGTTTATACTACACTGCTAATATGAAAACTAACAGAGTAGTTAAAAGAACTCAAACGAAATCTCATAAACAGCAGGACAAAGGCTTGCAGGGTCATATAACCCAAACGCCTGACTCGGAGTAAGTAAAACATCATTCCTGTGTAAAAATAAATAAATAAATAAAAAATAATATTGCTTATGTATTTCCGTCACTTACTTTGAACGCTTAATGACTTTAGAGTACCATCGTCTTTTATAATCTAATTAAACTATACTGTCACTCTGTAAACCGTTAGCTAGAACACCTACCGAACAAATGACTGTAGAACCTAAGTTCTGACTGACAAACGTTATGGAGCGCCAACACATCAGACTCTGCTAGCACTAACAGATACTTATCAATGAAATGAGTCAAATTTCACGGCTTTCAAAGCAAACCTAACGACCACTACTAAATGAGTCCCCAATATCGGACATATCGAAAGTTTATTCTATTTAGTTCAACGATTCTCCCATAATTTTCCCGACGTGGCACAGCGGAACAAGTTAGCTTCCTTAGCTTACACATACGTGGCCTTTATGTTTGACTACTTTACCGGTAGGCTAGTAGTCATTAGCTTTTGCTAGCTGTCTTACCGTGTAGCCGGGCCTTGCTAGGTGCTAGAACACGACTAGCTTCCCAGGTAATTTCTCCTGTCCAAAGCTAATCATGGACTGCCAGTATAAAAAAGCCTCACAAAGTAATACACAAGCAATGATGGTGAGTATTCGGTTACCTTGTTGGTAGGAACAGATCTTAATCTTTTGAAAATGGTAAGGATTTCGGTCTTATTTGGTTCCGTAGCCATCTTGACACTGACGATTTCTATAAGCTGACGTCACTACGGCAACTAGTGGGGCCCAAAACCCATAGAGGTAAAAAGTCATCCGTGGTTCACCGACTTTAAAAAAAAAAAAGTCGATTAATTATCACATTTTTAAAAAACATTTTCATTCGCACAGCATAATCAGCATTATGTTCATAATAGAATCAGTACATACCCTTGGAAAAAATGCATACAGTCAAACATGTCATTTAATGTAAACAAAACAAAACAAAACAACAAAGTTAAAAGAAAAGGCTTCTATAAACATCCTCAAGGAACAAAATAAACTGTAAATTGTAACTCATTACAACTGTCAACTGTAATGATGACTGACAAAGTAGATAACCTCTATATATCCAATCCTATATTATACTATATATGCATATGTATATAGATAGATTGGTCATCATCACATTACACAATATGCAATCATAAAAATCAGCACAGTGCAAAATAAATGACTTGACTTGATCATTTTGACCAGTGGTTCAAATACAGATTGTGTCTTCATCATTCTAGCATATAAAATTATTTTCACATAATACAACCACATAAAACATTTCTGATGGTGTGATGAGATCAGGTTATTCTTGTTAGTTCATTCCCCGCCTCTTCTGTCCCAGGGATTGAAACTGGCTGAACAAGATTTTGCACATACAGATTCTTTCAGACATCATGGAGGCAGGTGTATTTCTCCTGCTGCTGTTCCCATTGTTGGGGATTGGGTCGACTCTCAGCTTTTATGGAGACAGCATTAGTTTCATGGCTCCAGAGAAGGAAATGGATGGGACATTTAAGGTAATACAACATAAGAATATATGCTGAAACTTTCACTATATTCTTTTAATATTGAGATTTATCATGATATTGAAAGATGGGCAATATGGATCACAACACAGATTAGTTTACACGGAGTGTAATAATGCATATTTTTAAAGTAGTGGGATTTGCAAAAAGATCCTTTTTTAAAAAAGAAAATTAAGTAACCATACAGCCACGTCACCAGTTCTGAAGAAACCTAATTGGAATGCAAAACACTTGCATACAATCCAAACTCTTGTGATGAAGAAAATAGTTAACACTTTCATGCATGTTGTGCAGTCATTTCAAAGCTTTTCAATATTTTTGTGAGTAAAAAACTTCAGAAATCCCAAATGGTGGATAGTAATGAAAATGTGCCATCTCTGTATCTGTTAAAAGAAATATACAAGAAATGTGGGTTCATTTGTCTTTATTTTCTGTCACTTCTTGTGTTTGGACACATTCATTTTTGTAGTTAGGCTTCTGTGATATCACCACGTGTAATTAAACACAACTATTTCTAATCTAAGACAGGACAGGAGGAAGACCAACATATAGAGAGTGAAACAGTTAAAAACAGAATAAATGAGATTGTATATTTTTGTTTTTAATTAGGAATTTTATTAATTAGTTAATCAGGCAACACAGAGCTGAAAACATGGAGGAAACACATTTACTTTCCTTCTCCTTTTTGCTTTTTGTTTATTAAGAAGAGATAAACCGAGATCTCTAAAATCCCCTGACTAAAACCTTTGACTCTGAAATGAAGCAACAGGTTTAAACCTGGTTTTATCTGATGTTTACATTTCTGTTCTGAAAACTACAGAAATCTGCTCCTTTCAAAGTACAACTATAGAATAGCTTTTCACAGATGTTATAGTTTCTACATTTATAAGCATGAAGAAACAACGACGACTTGGGGAACAGGGGTTAGGGAGATGTTGTTATTTATGATTTCAGCCCCACAAAAGTTGGTTTGAAATCATGAAAGAAAATTGTTCAAAGACTTGGGGGAAACTGTATTGATTTGAATATGCAAACAATGCAGATTTTTACAATGTGCACAAAAAATGTGTTATTTTTTAAATCCTCTAGGTGACCTTTTATCACCGGCAGAATGGCAAAAGTAACTGTCAGGATCAGTCATCTTTCTCGTGTGATAGTGGCGTATGTACAGGCTTTAACGAGTCGAGTGTCCTGCAAACAGACCAGGACAGCACAGGCCAAGGCCGCTGGTGCCAGTCTGAAGGACACACAACAGCAACCATCCTGACTAATAATGCCTCCTTTTCTCTGAGGTAAGTCCAGGGCACAATAACACAGCTTATCTGATTGATCGTTTGCTAGTTACTCTGGCGTATCTCACAGACTGAAGAGAAGATTGTATTTAACAAGCATGATCTAGTACAACTTAAAAATGTTGAGAAAAGTCAGCCCACTTGCAGTGGGATCCGTAGTAAGTGGACTCGTACTGAGGACTGGCCGATACATTCTGAATTGTTACCCTATTATTTATTCTACAGGCTGATCAGAATTGAGCTTTACTTTGAAAAACGATCTCTAAAAACAAAGGCTTAAAATGAAAGTATGAGGCACTTTTTAAGGAAGTACACATCACACCCTGCATTTTCCACAGCACAGTATCTGTCAGTGTTGATTTGAGAAGTGATATTCATCTTCTCATTCCACCACGCTGGCTGACTGCCACGCTTGCTGGGACACTTGAACAGAACACAAGTTTGGCATCTGGAATATTTTTGTTGGTATGACAGCCCAGCCTTTTACGAGAAACACTTATGTGGGAACAAATAAAAGAACAAAACAGGGTGTTAACTGTAGGATCAGAATGGTAAAGGGATTAGTTTAGTGCCTTTCTATTCTCACACACACACATTTAGATGGTGCTTTTAACGATACTTAAGCACATTTACGCTCACTCTCACTACGACGAATGCATCGAGGGCAGCTTCGGGTTCACAATTCTGCCCGAGGACACTTCAACACATGGACAGAAGGAGCTGGGGATCATCTGACCTTCTGATTGGTAGACGACCTGCTCTGCTACCTGATACACAGCTGCTCCATATCAGCTCCTCATATTTTGGAAACACCAACAAATCACGAATAAATGCAAGTATGTCTTGTAGTGATGTAGACATCGAGGAGTATCTCCACCAAAATACTCTCTTATCATAGATGCATATAAAATCCAGACCAGACAGTTTTTTCACTTCTCAGATGGCAGCCACTGTTGGTTCAAGTGACGAGTTTAATTACGAGCAATGAAATGTTTCACCTCCTTTTCAGGGACTCTGGCTGCTGCTGGGTGTCTAATGTTGAAGGGGAAACCCAGTGGACAACATATGCTGAGCTGGACCTGGGAACTCGATCTGATACGCACACTGTCAACAGCTGTCCCGTAACAACAACAGTGTCTTCTTTGCGGTACATGCCATTTTTCTTATTTGATTCAACATAAAATCGTCATCACTCGATGATTAGTTGTTAAATTACTGTAATATGTACTAATATGACGCCTGTTCTTGCAGGGTGCCTCAAAACTGTTTTTCCAGGATTCGTATTCTTGCACATGATCCAGATGGAGATGAAGTGAAATGTCGCTTTGCTACATCTGGTCCCACAAACTTCACTCTAGACGAGGTAATCCAGACCAAACAGGGGCTCTAATGACCTTCAATGTGGTCATCTGATGTAACAATCATTATAGCATTATAATCCACTAATTTTAGGCACAGCTATATATTAATCAAAATGTTGGTTTCATCAGGCCAAAACACATATTTTCCCCTGTTGCATCCATTGTTGTGTATGAATGTGAGAATGATCAAATTCTTGCAAAGAATAAAGTGAATGCCTGAGTGTATACGGCTCGCACTGTGGAAGACGGTAAGACAAGATGAGTGCTATTATGAAAAACAGACAATTACCATCGAATTTTATGCAGCTGTTAACCCTTCTTATGGGAAAGATGGGTGTCAGTTAGTGTCTGGCACCAGGACACTGGCAGCAGAGTCTGTGGGTCCTGTTGTATTATCACCGTTTGTTCTTTGTCACAGTGCAAAATGTACAAAAATGTACTTGTACATAGTGCATTTGTAATCAGTGAGCTACAGTGATTAGGTCGGGGTATTTATAAAGGTAACATACTTAATGGACGTAAGGTTTCCCATTGCATTCATCAAGATGAGCAATAATTTATCTTTCAGTGGTTTTAATGCTTTGATTGATCAGTATGTTCTGCATGTTGACAATACAGTTGATGTAATAGATACAAATTTATAATAAACCCATTAAAAAATCAAATAATTTAACCAACTATCTCCGTTAAGCTCATCTTGTAATCTCATTACAATCATTTGCATTTGCTTACTTGCAAAGAGAGAGAATGAAATCTTTTTTTTAAAAACTTTAAAAATGTGTAAAAGAAGATTATTGTTATGCTTTAAGCATAAGATCAGCTCTAATAGTATGCCTTTGGATTTATTAGAAGCGTGTGTTTATGCACTGATAATCTGAAGGACCTAAGGGGGGAATCACATATAAGTTAGCAGACGTAGAATAGAATTTGTGCCGACTAGGCAAGTGATAAAAGAAAAGAAACACAAAACAGACCAAATACAAAACAGATGAGTACTTTGAAGTAGAGATGGTCCGATCCGATATTACTTATTGGTATCGGTCCGATAATGACCTAAATTACTGGATCGGATATCGCCGAGAAATAAAAAATGTAATCCGATCCATTAAATATCAAAAAAGCACCTCACAAAACTTGCGACACGCTGCAACTCGGCTCATAACCGTAGCACGTCGCAGCAGTATGCGTCACCTGATAGAGCGGCTGTGTGTATTTGTAGCTTCGCTACCAAACCAGCATTTCATCTCCGAGGAAGTTTTCCCAGAGAGAAGAAAAGCAAGTGTGTAAGTTTGTCTCTGAATGTTTGTAAAGCATTCCAGCGTTAAGCTTAACAACCGATATATGGAGCGACTGCCTCTCTCTCTCTCTCTCCTGCTGCTACTTCAATCGTGAAACTGCTTAATGATCAGCTGATCAATGATCAGCTGATGAACAGTTTTATTGATTAAAAAACACTATATCGGATTCATATCGGTATCGGCAGATATCCAAATTTATGATATCGGTATCGGACATAAAAAAGTGGTATCGTGCCATCTCTACTTTGAAGTACTCGAATGATGGTAGGACAAGGGCACACAGGAGATCAGGTGATTCAGCAAACAGGAGTGACTAGGAGTTGGACCAGATGAAACAGAAGAAAGGAAACCAAAAGCAAAACGGTGACATAGTAACTATGTTTGGAATCCCGTCTGTTCCAAACTGATGTGTTTAATAAG